GTCGGCCGAGTTGACCCATGTGGCATCTGGCAGTCGCGCCCTACAAGCCAAGTCACACTTGAGGACTGCCTGGCGGACGGGCGAGATGCTCAACCACCTCAAGCCTGGAGCTGACGCCGCAGCGGCGTGTGAAGCCGGAGACGAGGACGAGTCCCTCGGGTTCTGTCGGCCCAGCATGGGCTGGGAAGAACTCCAGGGCTTCCACCGCCCCTTCCGCCTTATTCGCCGTTTCGTTATTACGCAGTCGTCTGGCAAGAAAAGATGCATCGACGACGCGCAGCAAGGTAAGCAAAGTGAGTTCAGTTCTGACGGTAATCGGTTGCAGTTCTGCAGTGCCTTGCAACCATGCTTTCATGTCCAGGCATTGGCCAAGGAGTTGGCGAAACGAGGAGTTGACCTCGAGTCCTTCTTGTTCAAGCTCGCCACCTTTGGTGAAGACCTGCCTTATGCATACCGCAAGATTGCGATGATTCCCGCCCACACTTGGGCCTGCATAGTTGCTTTCTTCGATCCTCATCGCGATCAACCCAGGTTCCGCAGATACCTGGGTATGTTGTTCGGCCTTCCATTGGCCGTCTCTGCTTTTAATCGCCTCCCGTTCTTCCTTCAAACGGTGGCACGGCGATTGCTGTTTCTTCTTATTTCCTGCTACTTCGACGACGCCACGTGCCAGGATTTCGCATCACTGGCCCCCCGCAGTCAAGAACTGGTGGAGGAAATGTTCCGTCTTTTCGGCTACCCTTTCGCCGAAGCCAAGCGCCAGACTCCCCAGGCAAGCGGAGATTTCCTCGGCCTCCTCCACGATCTTTCTGAAATCCAGCGGTCCGGCACCATTACAGTTTGGGTGCGCCAGCGGCTCGTGGATAAAATCTCCGACATCATCGCCTCAGCGCGCAACGCCCATGTCCTGCGCTCTGGCACAGCAGCGAAGCTTTTCGGGTGTTTGGGATTCCTTGATTACGGCACGTTTGGCCGTGTTGCCAGGGCAGGTTTAAACCCCATCAAGGAGCGACAGTACTGCAAGACTGAGTCCTCCCTCACCCCAGAGCTCCTCCGGTCTTTCGATATTATCGAGGCCATCATAGCCATGAAGCCCAGCCGAGTCGTTCCCGTGTTTCCGGGCCGGGGTAGCCGGATCATTGCTGCGAGCGACGCGGCTCAAGACGGCTACAGAGTTGGCTCAGGAGGACTCTTAGTGGTTTCGCCCCAGGGTCTTCGAGTTGGTACTGTACCCCGCATCAGCGACGAAGTGTTCGGTCTCTGGGACGAGTGCGAGACTAAAATCGCGCAGCTCGAGTTGTTGATGGTTTTCCAAGGTCTACTGTGCTTCGCTGCCCTGTTCCGCAATACCACTGGCGTGTGGTTTGTGGATAATGTGGCGTCGCTCATGGCATTGGTCAGAGGGCGCAGTGATTCCAAGGAATTGGACACCATCGCACATAGCGTGCATCTGCTGTTGTTCCATTTGAAGGCCAACATTTGGTTCGAGTGGGTCCCATCGAAATCCAACTGGGCCGATGCCATTTCTCGTGAAGGCCACAGGGACCCCTGGCACCGAAGACGAGGATTCTCGGCGTACACCAGCGACATCCCTTGCATCCTCTGGCAGCTGCCTTTCTCTGTCAAGTCACTTGTCCTCGCCTTTCTGGCAGGATGATAGTGCATTGGGTGTAGTGCTTTGGGATACGTTGGACGGGCTCGTCCCTGAGATATCGGCAGATCCCGATCCGATCAGAGGCAGACCTCGAGTCGAGGATTCCAATGCACTATGGGCCTCGCCCATGAAATGAAAAAGGTTCCGAGTGCTCTGCAGAGAATGTTGTCCAACTTAGTGCTTCGGGCAGGCTTGGTGAGTTGAAATCATTATCTGAGTGCATTTTGGATTGTGCTGCACATGTTGTCGCTTGAGCATACATGTGTATCCGCCGCCGTTTCCTCTCAAGCCAAAATAGCCAACAGAACACTGGATCACCTGAGTCGCAGGAGTTTCCTTTTTCATCCCACCCTACCCTCCCTAAATACAGGGCTCAGCCCTCCCTAGAAATTATCTGCACCAGAGGAGCGAGTTCGCCGGTGTACTCTTCGGAGAGCTCCCTAGTTGCGGAGAGGCATAGTATGCCGGGAGTTACGTCGAGTCGTACGAGGTACTGTGTACATGTACAGAGGACGAGTCCTACCCTTCGAGTTCCCGGTGAGCGGGATTCTGCGGGAGATCGGTGGGATACGTTGGACGGGTTCGTCCCTGAGATATCGGCAGATGCCGATCCGATCAGAGGCAGACCTCGAGTCGAGGATTCCAATGCAGTATGGGCCTCGCCCATGAAATGAAAAAGGTTCCGAGTGCTCTGCAGAGAATGTTCCATGCACCTGGCACATGCATTCTCGAAACTTCTCGAACTCGCATGCAAACGGTTTTGAGTCACCAGAAAGAGGCAATGGCCTCCTCAACATCACAAGGCTGGGTTCTTGTGAGACATCCAGCCAAAGCAGAAGGCTGAGAACTCAGCACCTGCACCTTGAACTGACAGAACCGATACCCCCGGAGCAGAAATCTGCAAGCAGGCAGTGTGCGCTGGGGGGGTGCAAACAGTGAGGGAGAAAATCACACCCCAAGGCGGAAGGTACTTAATCCATCCAGTTAGAAGGTATTCTGGAGATACCCGTTGCGCATCAAAGCTTGCCTGCACATGGAGGAAAGCCAAGCCGACGGAGCTCCACCACGGAAAGTTGTCCGCACATGTCCGAACCACGTGGCTGCACACCTCAGGCAGCAGGGCTTCTTGAACGCGGGTCCGAGTAGAGTAAACCGTGGCTGCCGGGACGCTGAAGCTTGGGCCACACGACCCATGCAGTGACGGCATGCGCAAGCAAAGACGAGGTGCACAGGGTACACGCGAGAAAGACACGTCTATCCAACATAAAAGGTGGACGGACCGGCTACGCAAATCGTTCTTGCATCACTAAGTTGCTCAGGAACTGGCAGGTCGGGAACACAGAGTCGGGGTGCCGGGGCACGGAATCGTGGGGTTTCCCTGTCTTAGTCCTGGCCCATGAGGTATCATGCGGTCAAACCAGTATATTCAGGAATCGTTCCCTGTGCTCGGGGTTCAGGTTGATGTTCACGGTGCAGGCCGCGAAGGATCGCCAAGGCCTCGCCGGGCAAGCTCGCCGCCGAATCGAAGCACCTGCCTACGCAGATGGCCCGGAAACTCGTGCCCGTGTCGAGGTAGTTGCGTTGTCGAACTCCGTGGTGGGGACATTCTCCAACTAGATGGCGCGACGGTGCATGCCGATGCCGGCCGGCTGCACCAAGCAAAAATTCAAAACCACAGCAGACATGAAGGGCATTGAAGGGCATGGTGTCCGCCACCATCTGCTTGACGACGCGTCACCATCCAGGAAGGGCTCACGCCTTTGCCGTCGTTCGGCCGCCATTTTCCCGAAGGCTTCGCAGTGGAAAAGCAATCTCGGTGAAGTGGTTCACGTGATCACCAACCGACCGGGCGATCACGTTGAAGATGCACCAGTGGCGAGGACAAAATCATCACTACGTTGCCGCACCCGAAGATGCTGTAAGAGACCGCTGTGACTCCGAACTCCAAGCTTGCCACGACAGAAGGCGTGGCGCAAAACTTGATGATGGCAACAGGTGGCAATCACGACCTCGAGCCGGTTCTTGACAAACTCCATTCCCTGCAGGGCAGTTTTGGGTTCTTCGCAGTCCTTGCTACTGCAATGTTCGAGTAAGTTGTCAGAATAGCTACTGAAACGTGACACACCAAGCACCAGGCGGCAGGGCGACCATAGGCGACCATGATAGATATGCCACCTTGTTGCGCCGTGCTGACCTCGACACGGAACCCGGCCTTCTCCTGCATGAATCACTTCTACGGGCCGTGCACATGACAAGGAAGCGCGATGACTCGAGCTTCGGGAGTGGCGCAGCTTTGCAACTTCTGTCGGTTTCGATCCGCTGCAGCCTACCTGGATTTGTTTACAAGACTTGCGCATAGGACCTTATGAGACCCAGCGTTTCGGAGAAAGACTTCTTCACAAGCTCCAAACGAGATCCTCATATTTCTGGACAGCATCGGATATGCGGACATGCAGCGCAGGACATAATTGGAGCAACGGTCACGGAACTGAAATACTGATATGATAACAGACTCGCTCCGGAGTCTCAGTCCCGAACTTGGAGCTGTAAGCCAGCGCTAGCAAGAAAAGCAGGTCCGATTTGCATTTAGAGTTTGAGCTCTTCCAACTCCTGGAATTTCAAAACCCAATCTCAGAAGCTATGCGGCTCTGGACAGTAGTATTCTTTTCTTCATATCATTGCTCTGACCATGCCCACGATAAATCGAGTGGTACTTGCGCAGGTCTATGTCACATGTATCTCCGGCAGTATGACAGCTCCATAGACTGCTTCACCAAGGCAGGGACGAAGGTTGAGATTCTTCCAGCGCTCATGTTGACTTGTTTGGCTTTGCAAAGCCCCGCCTTCTGTCTCCAGTTCATACTGCGGCTACGTGGATACGCAGCCGCTTCACAACCAGCATTATCCAGCTTCAGACGCTGGCCCAGGATTCAAACTCAATAGGTTTTGGCCTATCAATCGTGTTGAAACCGAACTCACCACAACAACATCTGCCGTTTGTTCAAACTTTGTACCGTAAGGAGCGAACATCATCTATGCAATTATGTACATTGTGAAACAGTGGGCTAGAAGACTCAACACTGCAAGCGGGCATCTTCACTGAGCCCGTCATGCCGGATGCTCGTTTACATAAAAGGATCCACGTCGGTTTCTGTTCCAACGAAGCGCAGTATGTAGAATCCTGCACAGGGCTGGAGAGATCCATGACATGCTCACCGAAATTTGACGGACCCTCCTTCCTGCAAGATGCCCTCGTGAGTGTGCGCTCACGTGCACTCTTCACAAAGATGACCATGTTTTACTTCTGCCGCAGGCCAATGCCATTCAACGGCACGACGTGACCTTCATGCAGCTGGGAAAGGCAGCTGGGCATGTCAATGTGAAACTGCATCACTCGTCGTCGTTCGCATTGACTTTCTGTGCAGGTGTATGCCTTGCAAGAAGACTACAAGTCCGCCATTGATGTCTACACCGAGGTTCGGGAGACATGCTTAAGATTTGGCAACACTTCAAAGTGAAACAAGCCAAAGAGGAAAGCTTGCTGCAAGCATCACCTGCTCCATTGCTTGAATGTAGACATGCTAAAGCTTACCACAGGCTTCAATTTATCGCAGCGAGACGTAAGTATGGATCGCAGTAGCAGAAACAGTGGCGATGATGATGATGATGATGACGACGACGACGATAGACGACGCTTAGGATGATGATAATGATGCGGTGCTGCTCAAGTGCTGGCGGCGGGCGGTGAGGGCGGTTGCGGTGGTTATGGTGGTCGTGGTATGTCGTGGTGGTGGTAGGGGTGGGAGTGATGATTATCATTAGTTGTGTCATGTCATAGTTTCCGTCGGCAGCCCAGGCGTTAGAATTTTCCCCCGAGCATGCCGAGCTGTTGACCACGCTGGGCATCCTCTACTTGCGGTGCGCGGCACATCCCTTGCTTGTCCTGCCTTCTGCAATTGCCTTGAACACAAGTTGTTGCAGGATGGGCGAAAACTTTAAAGCCTTTGCCCGCGTCTTAGACATTGCAGTGCTTCGGTTTTGGTTCGACATCGTGCTGCGCAGAAGGACTATTTGGGCAATGCTTTGACTCACGACCCAAAGAATGCCAAGACGATTTTGGCAGCTGGGTCCATCATACAGGACAGGACGACACCTCCCAGTTTCGGCCTCACACTACCAACTAACAACCTCTCCGCTTCTTTGGAGGATCATTCAGACATGGATGTTGCGCTCATCAAGTACCGGGTAGCAGCAGTCCACACGCCAAATTCCGCTCAACTCTGGAACAAGTGCTGCTCTCAGTGACACTTGATTTTTGAAATGAAGCATGCGTGCTAGATGGATAAACATCTTGACAAGTGCTTCTGCTTGGAAGCACAGCCAAAACGAAGATGCAAACCAAGACTTCGCTGACAGTGCAGAGAGTTGATCCCATGCTTTCTGTTCGGAGTTGGGAGGGGACTCATGTGCTCCTGATACTTCTTGCTTCACACACCACATGTTTACCTCGTGGGCTCCTTACCCAGCCCAGCCCAGCCCACCCACTCACTCACCTTCGCAGTGGAGGTGGGGTTCGGTGTCTGCTGCCCACGCTGCCCACAGTCGCGAAGAATTTGTACATGAACCGTTCCTTTGCGTACCGTTGCCTGTTGCTGCGAAGCTGGAGTGCAACACGGATCCACCAACCCAAAATGGCCAGATCGAAGGATTTGCAGCATCAGGCTTTGTTTAGCTGGAGAGCGCCAAAGTCTCGTCCGGAGCAAGGTAAGTTGGCTGTAACCTCGACATGACACAATGCTAGCCTCTAGATGCTCCATGTCCAAACAATTGCCATGCCCAGTATTGGTATGTGCTTCTTCGGGAAGACGAAGTACGTGGCTGCAATCGCCTGCAGCCGCCACAGTCCCTTTGCAAGTAGCCACACATACGTTTTGTTGAAGAGCAGAGGCCTGAAGCGCGCGCTGTATTTGGACCCTTTCGAGTGGATCATCTCCTACAACCTCGGCCCGGCTCTCCGCTTCTCGAACTGCACAGGATCTCCTTCACTTCGGGATGTACCGCACAGGTCTAGTGCACCTGAACACGGGCCAGTTTGCCTCCGTCCCTCAGCACTGCGTTGAGTGTGGTTGCTGAGTTTTGTTTCATGCGCACGAGTTTGTAATACATGTAGTCTGATGTTACATGTACACACAAATTTGTGTGCGTCTACGTGTCTAGCTGGCCGGCCATGCGTTCATCCGTCCATACCACGATGGAATTATCAGTCCCCGAGTCGGTGAGCCTGTGAATGTTAGTTTTGAATTTGTCAGCTCGTCATCTATCTGCGAAGCAAGCTCCACGTTGCCTTCCGTCAGAGGTTGGGTGTGTTTCTGTGTGTAGGTGTATGTGTTATATCTCTACATGGTAGTTGACCTAAAGCTCCTTGTGGCATAGGTTTTATTCACATGAGCGGCCAACTGCATGGATATATACGCGTTCGCGAAAGTTCCGCCATGGTGCCACGAAAGTTAATTTTTTCTGGGAAAGTTCTGTGTTAGCCTACTTGCCGTACTGTTAGCATTATACTAGTATTGCTACTATTACCACCACTGTGCATCCAACTATTACTATGACGATTACGATGATTATTGTTTTTAATAATACTCTTACTCATATTGTTACTCTTACTGCCACTGATACGATACTGCTACTGTACATACATGTATATATATATATATATATGTATGCGTGTGAATATACAGCCAGATGCATAGATAGATACACAGATAGATCGATCGATGTATGCATGTACGTATAGATGTATGTCTGTAGGTAGGTATGTAGGTAGCAAGGTATGTATGCACGCATGCAGGCATGCATGCAGGGATTGATGGATGTTTTTGCACGCTCGGACACGGTTCGGCCATCCTGAATGGACAGCTGTGTTGTAAGTTTGCTGATGTTGCGTTGCTGCCAGGCTTTTCATTTCTTCTCCGCTAGCATCAACCTCAAGCCTGACTTCCCATCTTCATACATGCGCCGGTCTCATTTCAGTGGTACTTTACTGACAGTTGCAAGCCAACACTGCGGGCCCGGGCAGCCTGTCCATTTCCACCATGTTGGAGGTACCTCGCAATCACGCTCTCTCGCTTGGATGATTTCTCAAATGCTTGCAGCGCATATGAGAAGGCCCATCCCCTTTATGTGGACGTGTGCAACTCAACCGTACGCAATGTGCAAGGACAGAAAGAAAGAGATAGTGTGAGGGACCTGCTCCAACATGGCTTCTGCAGGCAATCGAGATGGACTCCGATCACATGTTTCATCTGAACTTTGCGATTACATTATTCAACCATGGAGATCTGACGGAGGCCCGCAGAGCCATACAAGCCCAGGTTGTTTGTATGCTTCGATCGTGCAGGCCAAAAGACAGTTTGTGCTGTTTAGCGACCTGTTCCAGCAGCTGGACGAAGAGCAAAGAAACTCTGACCCAGAGGTGGGGAGGCTGCATTCTACTGTTTGGGGCCATTTGGGGCTGCTCTCTGTCCCAGCTGATTCTGGTTCTGCCTGAGTTATGCAGGTCAATGAACAACGGCAGCTGCTGCAAAGAGTCTTGAACAGTGGCGCTAAATAGCGATTCAGTAAGTTTGTGATAAGTGGCAGGCATAGGTTGGATCCTAGGAGAAACGGTCAAGTAGTGCATGATTGCTTGCTTGATCGAGTTGGACTGCTGGCATAGCCTGCATATAGACAGTCGTTTCACATCGCCGGAAGCTCTGATGATGCGCAGGCAACAAAAATGACTAACCTTCGGTACTTCAGATTCTCGAAGGACCATCAAAGGCGTCCTGATGCATGACTGCCGAAATCATATCGTTAGTTCGGAATCTTGCTGACAAGGGGCGACGCATGCCTTCATCAACCATGGGCAGTCTGGCAACATCGGCTTTCTCTCTTCTTGCAAACTCCTGCTATGCAAAGTGTGGTCATCGTGGTCTCAACAGGATTGAAGTCTTGGGAGGCCAGCACGGATAAGCGTGGAACTACTCGCTGCCACCCCCCCTCAAAATCTGCACATGCGAAGGTCAACACTTGTAAAGTGCTGGCGCCACGACTGGCGAGTCTTGTGCACCAACAAAACAAGTAAGCATCGACGGCGAGGAATTCGACGAGCCACCTAATGTTACTTCTTTGGAAATGCCTGCACCTCAAGCTTTTTCCGCCCACATCCACTTCTGGTTCTGTCAGTAAGGACAAGTACTGCCACCTCTCCAATACCATGTGGCCGGTTAAGCACCGAACTACAAGGAATCCTCGCAACTAGGTCCAGGTGTCCACCCATTGACAATCTGGATTGCAGCTCAGTGGTCATCTCTGTGGGACTCTGTCGACACCTGACCTTGCCCTCGCCCGTCCTTGCCATGTCCCATCAGAGCCCTGTAGATCCTGGTCGCGAGACGGCATCGCTGCTCTTGGCAGAGATTTTCTCGTTGTTTGGTCTGGTCTGCAACGACGACAGCCTCATCGTTTGAATTGGGGGCTGCGGTATGACTCCTGGAAATTGCGAAAGAGGGCGTCCTAGGTCAAGCCAAATCACGTTGTTTCAGCGGAGCGCCCACCTTCCTGTTCGGACATTACTTATCAGTGTCCTCATGCTTAGCAGGTCCGCCTAGCAAAGATAAGGCAAGGTGGAGGGTGGTAGGCTTTTAGCGAGTGAACTCTCCGAAATCTCGGGCTGAAAGTGGTTCGGTGCTGCCGCGAAGACAGGGCTTCTGGACTCAGCTGCGAGTCCGAAGAGAATCTACGGCCTGCTTCCACCTGAGTATTTGTCCAACAATCCTTCCGGAACAGTCAGAGCAAGCCTTTGGTGGCCTTTATTACTGCCAAATTGAAACGAATTTCGAGTTCTTCAGCCTACTGTCACTGCGCCTACTCTCTCTCACATGTCTCCAACTTGATTGGTGCATCGGAGGAACCCACAGGTTTGGCGAAGTAGAGTCATAGAAGGGGAGAAAGCATGCGCAATCATGCATACCTTAGCGCGTAGCATATATGGTCAGTATGACTACTACGTGACTAGTACGCGCTGATGGGGGGACGAGTCGTAGCAGTCATCGACTTGAACTTGCGGTGCTGAATTTCACCCCTCGATACGGCCACCAGCTAGCATTAGCGTTGACAAAGCGAATCAACAGAACATGCTTCGAGGCCGCAGCTAGAGAATGTGTAGCAAAGCCATCAAGTCAGAGACATGGTCGCAGGACAGGGATGTTCTATCCCAGTCGGCCTTGACGTATCTTCGCAAGGCCGCTCCGACGACCAGCACGGAATGGAACGGTGCAGATGTTGTGCTCTCCATAGGCTCAGACCTTGCCGAGCAAGTCTCATTGCATTGGCTCACACAAGCTTGGCTTAGCAGATAACGTAGGAAGTTGTGTCGATTCCAAAGTATCCTATGGTCTTTACCGGAACAGTGAGAAGTGCCATGTGCTCCGAGGTAAGCCTTAAGCATCCACGCCCGCTGATTGCCTCAAAAATTTGACTCGCTGTAGATTTTTAATTCGCAATCTGCACTTAGCAGCTAGGCCCGCTAGGCTGCATGCCGCGATGAGGCTGGATGCTGCAACTGTTTCTTATTCTTGCGATGCTCACTAGGCAGCATATGAGGCTGTGCCGTCAGCGCTGGCCATGGTGAAGCGTGCTCTCTGTTGGAAACTCAGATCGTGAGCAAAGGCAAAGTCTCATGATTCGAAGTCCTTCATGCTTCTGTGTAGACAGACTCTGAAAGAGACTGCACATGTCAGGCGTGGGCTGCAACTATCCGAGCAAAGCCTTCGGTTTAGCAGGAGCTGTTTGGCACTTAGGAGCCCCAAGCCAAGGTTCTCATGGGGCATGTTGGCAGTGCAAGGTCAACGACGCATTCCTGATCGCAGAAACTCTTCAGGCACGACCTCAGGACAGTTGGATAAGCGTACGGCTGTTGATGATCAATGAGGCTCACGACGACCATACGGCAATGCTTCCGTTGGTTATGTAGTGTGCTTTGCTAGGCTGAAGAAAGCATACCTGCAAGAGGCACATCTGGGATTCCGACATGAAAACACGTGCGTCCTCCACGACGTTTATCCGGGCCAGAAGAAATCCCTGAAGGCTCCATTTTGATTCTCAAGTGCAGCCTGCTCGCAAGAAATGGTCTTGCAGCATCCAGTCTGGAAACTATGCAGGTGGAACCAGCAAAGTGCCCAACTCGAGTTAATATATTGCACCAGCACTGCACTCAGATGTTGGACTGCATTGTCTGAGCAGCGAGAGTCTGCAGCTCTCCGCGTTGTCAGAACCTTTGGACAACTTCGTTCCGATGTCTTCGCCCTCCCCCATCCTAAGGTTGCATCAGATGGTCCGCTCAGCAAGACCGGGAGACATGCTCTTCTTCTCCTTCTCCGGATATGGTCTGCAGGTGTTCTTGGGTGCTAGCACTGCAAGATATATCAGTCATCATGTGCGCAGCGCATTATTCAGGCAGATTCTGACCTTAAATCGTTGTCTCATGAACGAAATCGTTTCCGCACCATGCGCATCCAGAGAAAACGGGGAACGTGAAGTTCCACACCAACACGGCTGCGAGCCCGACCAGGCCGAGAAGGCTCCTGGCGCCTTCAACCTGTATGTAAGGCGAGATATGCAACCCATCGGAATTGTTGACAACTCGCGCCAGCAGTGACATACAGGCTTGCTCACCATACACACGTTCCATCTGGACTTGGCTTGACCGAGCCATGCAGAGTTCCTTCAATTTCGACAACTGGGGAGAGCGCGAAGAGCAGGGGGGCCAGCGGAGCGGGCGGGGTAGGTGAGCGTTTTAGGGTGCAGGCCGGGTGCAAGGCGGATTTGGACCTGTCTTGTGCATAGGGCCCCCATGAAATCTGTAGGAATATGGGTCATGCTCGTGATAGTAATGCTGTAGCTGGTGATGGTGATGATGGTGATGATGATGAGGATGATGATGATGATATGCAAGTAGCACGAGTATTGGCAATGGACTCCTGGTGGTTGTGCTACGGAGTTCTTAAAGGTTGGTTCAGTGATGTTGTTGATATGCTTCTGATATGTTCTGATGATGGCGACGTACATGATGCAAAACTAGAAGCGAGGGCACTCGAAGTAGCTAGTGCTGCTGCCGGTTGCCTCAGCTGCTGCTGATGTTTCTGCTACGCTGTACCGATTGGGCTTAGTACTTAATGTTGAGCTGGCAAAGGCTCTCTGAATCACCATATCGACGAGTACAGCTCATGTGATGACTTGGCTTCACAACCGCCGCATTTTGGACAGCACATGTGGGACCCCTTTATGGACCGATGGCCTTTGGCCCCTACCGCCTTCTCCGCTCAACTTGATTATTCCTTCCGAAGCCCTCTTCACACACACTTCGCCGTATGTTGCTAGGATGTCGGACTTCAGGCTTCGGAAGTGCCAGTGCGCGCCGGGTTTTGGCAGTTGGAAGGGGTGGAGGGGGGGGAGGTCCTGTCACTTGTCACCGTCAAGCCCAAAGCTCAAACAGTTGTCATGCATCTTCCACATATGTTCTGCTCACGAGCACCTCGCTCATGCAGACTGTACTCAAGGTCAAGTTTCCTCGAGCTTTTTATAGCTCTTCAGGCCGAAACGAACTTGACATTGGCCGTTAGGGTCTACATGGCTTGAAGCGCTCGTCGTGGCAGCTGTGCAAAGACAAGTTTCCCAGTTTTCACACGTTGTTGGGCAAAAGTGAAGACTATTAACACGCAGGCAGGTCAATGTCAAATGTGTGGTTTCAGTAGTATTTGTTACAACCAATACAAAACACCCCGGGCAGTACCAGCACACACTTGAACAAGGCTTGGAGCGTTATAACTTGGCCGCTCTGATGAAAGTCTTAGTGCTCCTCCCTCGCAGGTGGATGACATGGATGGTTACCAGGATGAAGGCGTCGAAGAAGCCATCCTTCCGACAGACTTTGTCGATGGCCGCGACGGCGATTATAGCGTCATTTGCACAAACGACCTTCATGATGCTCCGAGCTCAGTGGGTAGTTTAAAACAAAACTCACTGCATCCTGCGAGGATGACATCTTTGTAGCTGGAGCGGAGCTGGATTGCCGGTGCACGTTGTGTCTTGAAGGATAAACTCCAAAATCATGTTGGTCTGGTGTTGTCGGGTTGGTGCTGCCCGAAGCACGATTCAGCACATGTAGGCTACGTTTGTGTGATTTGCAGCCCATCAATGCGACGGGGTACTGCAACCAGCGGATACCACGAGTGCCTTAAGGTCTTGTTGGGTGTTCCTGCAGATGTTGTCGTGACAGCGGTGATGGCCAAAGCCTTAGCAACTGTCCGGCTGAAGCTGCCGTGTGTATGCGAAGTTGCAGGACTGCGACCATGCGACCACGTTGATAGACGTGAGCGGCACAATCGACGGCTCCCTCATAAGTGGACTGAAGTTCAGTGACTTCTGTGGCCTGAAGGCAGGTAGGAATTCTCCGGTCACTCGGTGACATGTCATACATATACCCGCCGTCGTGTGATTCAACGGGTCCAGAATTTGTTTTTCTGATGCCGTGGAATGTCTGCGCAGGCTCATTCAGCTAAAATGGATCTC